AATGAAAAGCAAATATTTCTTCCCAGACATAAAAGTAGTACGCTTCACAGGAAATTTTACCAAGCTAAACCCTCAACAGAGCAGCAAAATAAAAATCCACCCACACATTTATAAAGAAAAGATCCTGGAAATGTAAACAGGATTATAGCTGTCAATTCCCCCAGATGCATTTACTTTACCCATTAACTTAGTTTTGCTGTTGAGGAACACAACATGCACTCCCCAATCATTTCTTTTCAAATTCATACATTCCCTGCAGCAGTTCAAGCTCCATCAGCAGAGCAGGAATGTATGAAAATGACAGGCAAAGGGCATTAGTTCTTTTCCCAGAGTGTTCTTCTATAAATGGAAGTACAGAATTCTTCCACAGAGAATGCTGAACCTAGTTGGTTGAAATATATTTTGAAAAATTTAAGAGGGGCTGAAAAATTAAATTAAGCTGCCTGGAAGCTACAACCTCTGGTTTATTGTGTTTTGCTTCTTTTCATATAAATTAAAGTAAACCAACAACATTTCTTAATTATGGACTTTCAACAGTAAGGAGGTATCCAGTAACTACCCGACCCTTTTTAAAATTACATAGCTCAGTCACAAAAGAAGCACATCTCATAATCCAGGGCTGCAAAAAGTTCTGAGTCTAAGTCTGAAAATTCAAAAGCAGACAGGAAAATATGTCAGCCATGGCCCAAAGTCAATTGCCCTCCCCTCATTTTTTTTTTTAAAATAAGGATTATTTCAAAATATTGGTTTAGGTACTCGCTGCACACAGAAAAGCAAGCCTCAAAAATAAAAAGCCAATAAAAAGTTGAATCTGCACCAGACTATAGCTACAAAAAGACCACTGTAGTTCCCCAGCCAACCCATTTACACTATTTTTATGTACATGCACAATATCATTCTCTCACAGCTCCTTAACTCCCTCCACTTCTTGAAGGAAGCTCTTTATCAGTTCTTTTATGCCAATTAAATGTCAGCAATTATACCTACCCATTCTTAACCTGCCTTAAAAGCAGTGCAAAAGGAAAAGGCAAAAGGAAAAGATCCTTGGGAGAATCAAGAGGAGCCGGCAGAATAAGCCAAGAAAAGAGCAAGACACTCTCCATGCAAAGTCTCCTTCAGAGAAGCTCTTGCTAACAACCCACTCTTGCTCCAGGCAGCGGCATGCTGATGTTGGCACTGCCGAAACCAAACAAACACGATGTTTAACAGTCAAATAAAATGTCCCGCAGCCTCCCTAATGAATTTGTCAAGGCCCATCAGATCACCCCCTCCCCTCCCCTGCCTCATTAACTCAAGTATGATGAGACGGATTATAATGGGAGAATACAGATCAATCGGGCTGAAGCCTTCAAGTGGCTTTTAGCCTTGAGAGCTTCCCCTCCCAGACACATATACACATACACACTCTCACTCTCTCGCGCCCCCAACCCCCGGCTGGGTCCTTTTAACAGAATACAGTATCTCCAGTTCCTGCAGGGGCTGCCACTTCGCTTTAATACCCCATCAAGGAGCTGCTGATGGACTCCTTGACTCCCAGATGGCAAAGCCAAGGTGACAAGAGCTCTTTCTTCAGCGGCAGCTTCCTTGGATCCTGAACCGTTCTGCCCCCATCCAGAGAGAGGAAAGGGCCCTTTTTCAATTATTCATCTCTCTCTCTCTCTCTTTTTTTTTTTTTAAATATCGGCAAGAGCGAATTCCGCCACTGCCTAAGAAAATGCTCTTTAAAGCAGCCAGGCAGTCGCCGCAGCCAAGACGAGGGCGCAGGCGTCTCTCTCTCTTTCTCTCTTTCTCTCTCTCTCTTTTGGCAGGCATTATTTGCTAGAAAGTGTTTAAGTTTATTGCTCAAATGATGTTTCTAATTAGCGCTCCGGGCCATAAATCCGAAGCGGTTTTTGTTTCAAGCTGATTTATTATTTACTGAAGCGTCGACCTCGGTGGGGTGGGTTGTCGGAGGGGAGGAAAGAAGGCAAGAGAGCGAAATTGGTAATGAATTGGTTGGAAAATCCGCCGGAGAGGAGCATCCGCTCCAGCCACAAACCTTTTTTTGGGGGGGGGGGGGAGAAGAGAAGAGGGGGGGAGAGTTGTCCCCGACCGCGCCGGCTTCCCTGGGAAGAAG